AAAATAAATATAATCTGGCCACCAGTATTAAAAAAACTCGAAAATCAGGAGTGTGAATAAAGAGCAACACTAAAAAAAATACAAGGGGATTCCAGACAGGGAACAATCAGGGCCAGCGAACACCTCCCAACTAGGAATTCCACCAGGCAGGAAGCAGCCAGGCTTTGAAGCTGCAAGGCTATTCGATGACACCGTTTTAGTCACCATGGAAACCTGGGAAACTTTGGCAGAAAGGCTTCGTAAAACTACAATTACCCGGATCGAGGCCAAGAGTTGGAACGGCAACAGAAGGGGCAGGATGACGACAACGACAAGTAAACAACCAAAAAAATTTTTCAACGAGTCAGAAAATAAGCCCTTGTAGTATGGCTAAGGAGCCCTTTATTTGCGGAACTCGGCAGCTCGAGTAGTGTTTACAACAATGATGTGCATATATAGTGTGTTAACTAGACAACGATTGTACACAATATATAAAATAAGGAGTATTTTTAAAAGGCTTAATAATAATAATAATAATAATAATAATAATAATAATAATATAGTCATAAACAAAGACACACATTGGAGTATCAGAACAGTGGTTAAGTGCTTACGATGACAAAAGGAAGGAAAATATTTTGGCAATTTTATCCCCTTTTCCAAAAAAGTTAGGGACCAGGGCACGGTCAAAATATGAAAACGGTTGAAAAGTGGAATCTCGTCCGGATCTGCCACTTTCTGGCGAAATAATTGCCTCACAAACCAAGTTGGAAGGCTTTAATCCAAAAGGATGCATTAGGGAACGCGACAAAGTTCCAACCGACAGTTGATTGCCCTCACGCCTCCTATCCTCCACCAATGATGGACATGGAACTGACTTGGCACACAGACCAACAAAACATATTGGAGGTCTTTGGAGGGATTTATAGGAGTTGTAGTTCACCTACATCCGGAGCACACTATGAATCCAAAAGGATGCATTAGGGAATGCGACAAAGTTCCAACTGACAGTTGATTGCCCTTACGCCTCCTATCCTCCACCAATGATGGACCAGGAACTCACTTGGCACACAGACCAACAAAACATATTGGAGGTCTTTGGAGGGGTTTATAGGAGTTGTAGTTCACCTACATCCGGAGCACACTATGAATCCAAAAGGATGCATTAGGGAACGCGACAAAGTTCCAACTGACAGTTGATTGCCCTTACGCCTCCTATCCTCTGCCAATGATGGACCAGGAACTGACTTGGCACACAGACCAACAAAACATATTGGAGGTCTTTGGAGGGATTTATAGGAGTTGTAGTTCACCTACATCTGGAGCACACTATGAACCCAAATAATGGTGGATCTGGACCAAACTTGGCATGCATGCCCAATATGCCCAAATGTAAATACTGGTGGGTTTAGAGGGGAATTGGCCTGGGCATTTCAGTACTGGGATATATAGTTCACCTGCAATCAATGAGAACTCTGAACTCTACCAAAGATGGAAAGGGACCAAACTTGGCACACAGAGCCCCCATGACCAGCAAAAAATACTAGAATCTTTGGTGACAATTCACCTTGACTTGTAGTTCACCTCCATCCAGAGAGCACTGTGAACCCAAACCCTGATGGATCTGAACCAAACCTGGCACATAGACCTGATATACCGAAATGTGATTATTGGAGGGGTTTGGGGAAAACTGACCTTCCTTTCTGGGAGTTGTAGTTCACCGACAACCAGAGAAAATGTGACCACCACCAATGATGGATCTGGACCAAAGTTGGCACACAGAACCTCAATGACTAACTCAACCTACTGGAGGGTTTGATGGGATTGACTTTTCAAAATTAATATCTAACAGTTAAATCACTCCCAATTAAGAGTTTTTTATGCTCTTGATTACCCAAAGCTCACCTCAGCTTTTGACATTGAGGAAAAATACACAATAATAATAATAATAATAATAATAATAATAATAATAATAATAGATTAATAATAATAATAGAATTATAGAATAATAATGATGATAATAGTAATAGAATAATAATAGAATAATAATGATAATAATAATAATAGAATAATAGTAATATTAATAATAGATTAATAATTATTATTATTATAACAGTAATAGAATAATAATAATAGCAATAGTAATAATAATAATAATAATAATAATAATAATAATAATAATAATAATAGCAGAATAATAATAGCAGAATAATAATAGAATAAATAATCCCCTTTCGGTTAAGTACCTATGCCATTGGGTAATGCGACTCAATGCTTTTTTAAATTATTGTCAGCTGTCAATTCAAAACACACACACACACAAAGGCCAAACTATGTTATATTATTGCTGCGCTGAAAAACAAAACAGGCAGGACACTCATTTCTGTGTATTTAGAGTTAAACCAAATTCACACACACACACACACACACACACACGGAAAATATTGTGGGAAAGGGGAGAGGAAGACGTACTAAAATGTCACTACCATTGCCACCAAACCCATGCATATTAAAATAATAATAATAATAATAATAATAATAATAATAATAATAATGGGGAAATAAGAGAATCCCTGAAACCGCCTTGATTAGCACTGAATGGCCTTGCAAGTTCAAAGCCTGGCTGGTTGCTGCCTCGGAGGTGGGGGAATCCTTTGTTTGGAGGTGTTAGCTGGCCCTGATTGTTTCCTGTGGACATTCCATATATGTAAACCCTACTTGCCTCATTTCCAACAGAACTCACTGCCTCTGAAGATGCATGTGGGTGAAATGTCAGGAGAGAATGCTTCCAGGCAGCCCAGAAAACTCAAGCAACCCAGATTCTTTAACATTTCCAATCCTCGTGCATATGTTAATCCTTGGGAAAGGAATCCCCTACACAAGCAGAGGATGCAAGCATAATAATTATTTTCTGTGATGGTAAACAACATTTATTTCCGGTCCAAAACACACGTACAAGCAAACCACTGCAACCGCTTATTAGGAAAACACAAACCCTAACCATAAATAGTCATATTATTGCTTCAGATAATATGGTTATGCTACAAAGAAAACACAAACACACACACAACAAAGGGATTGCGATGGAAATGCAGGGGTGCAAAAAGCGTTCAGCTTTCCTTGTATACGTTAAAAGAACGCACAGCATGCTGTTAATTAAAGACAGGCAATTAAGAGCAGAGAAAATCTCCACTGCATTATTAATGGCGCAGTGCTACTCTCTTTTTTAACAAGTGCGAGTCAATATAAAAATATTTCCACTGCACTCAGCCCATCTACACTGTACGTTTAAACCAGTTCTGATCCGGTTTTGAATAAGGACGACTCTTTGCCAATGAAGGACCCCGGGGAGGATAGGTGTTTATGGCTATTGTTCACAACCCTAACTTCTCAGCCCTTGACTAAATACTAATGATAATTAATAACTATTATTAATTATTAATAATGAATACTTACTATGTATTAATAACTACTATTTCTTAATAATGATCAATAATTAAATTATTAATAATGAATACTATGTATTAATAACTACTATTTCTTAATAATAATAATAATAAATAATAATTATAATTAACTAATTTAATAATATTTATCAATAAGTTATTTTGAATAATTAATAATTTTAATAGAATTAATAATTGTTAACTATTCTTAATAGTTACCAATACTTAATATTTACTAATTAATGCTAATTAGTAATTATCAATCATTAACAATTTTAATGTAATTAATACTAATAGGCAATTGCCAATTGATAATTTTAATATAATTAATAATATTTAGTATAATACTTAATAATTGTTACTAATTAATAATTATCAATTAATAATTTTAATAGAATTAATAATTGTTAACTATTCTTAATAGTTACCAATACTTAATATTTAATAATTAATGCTAATTAGTAATTGTCAATCATTAATAAATTTAATATAATTAATACTAATAGGCAATTGCCAATTAGTATTTTTAATATATTTAATAATATATAGTATAATATTTAATAATTCTTACTAATTAATAATAAATAATTTTAATATAATTAATACTAATTAGCAATTGCCAATTGATAATTTTAATATAATTCATATTTAGTATAACACTTAATAATTATTACTAATTACTAATTATAATTAATAATTTTAATACAATTAATAATTGTTAACTATTCTTATTAGTTACCAATACTTAATATTTAATAATTAATGCTAATTAGTAATTGCCAATAATTAACAATTTTAATATAGTTAATACTAATTAGCAATTGCCAATTATTTAATAATTCTTACTCATTAGTAATTAATCATTTTAATATAATTAATACTAATTAGCAATTGCCAATTAATAACTAATATAATTAATAATACTTAGTATAATATTTAATAATTCTTACTAATTGGCAATTATCAATTAATATCAGTTAATACTAATCAATACTGGTCAAAATTAATAATTTTAATACACTTAATACTAATTAGTCACTGTCAACACTTAATAATTTTAAGACAATAATAGTTAACTATTATTCATAATAATATTTAATAATAAACAAACTAAAAATACACACTAGACTAATGGTGAGAAGCCGCCGCTACAAAACCAGCCTGAACTAGCATTCCCGGAGGTCTACAACGAATTCCCATTGGCAGAAATAAAACGACACTCCCCAAAACTACACATCCCAGGACACCGCCAGATGTAGAAAAGGGTTTTTTGAACCACTGTAACAGTGCCACGGAGTTAACTTTATCAACTTTATTAACGTATACGTAATGCGAGATGTCAGCGGCAAGAGGTGGGGCTTCGTGTTGCGGCGCGGCATCCGGATGAAGGAGATGCGCTACAGAGCGAGAGGGAGGGATATCAACATGTGTGTATATGTATAGATATATAGGTATCGTAAAGGAAGAGGGAATGGAGATGCGGGAGAAGCGTTTTAGAGCGAAGCGCCCGAGGGTGCAGCGCGTGGGGTCTCGGCCTGCGTATCTCCCCCCAGGGTCTACGGCCCGGGCTCTGACCTTCGTGGCCGGGGTCTCCGCTGGCCCCCCACCGGCTTCCTGGTGGCCACAGCCGCCGCGAAGCCCACCAGGCAGCAGAGGGAGGTGGTGCCGAACTTGGCGGTGTCCATCCAGGTGGGCGGGTCGGCCTGCAGGTAGCTCTCCGCCAGGTGGAAGCCCATCACCAGCAGCCACAGCACGGAGGCAAAGGCGTCAATGCGGCGAAGCCTGCCGAAAGGCAAGAGAGAGTGGCCGGTCAGTCCTCTTTCGGTCAGGCATGGGCCCATTTCGGCCCTCTCGGTGTTTTGGACTCCCAACTCCCGCGATTCCTAATAGCCGGTACCCGAAGTTGACCCACGCCATGGGTTATGGGCCCAGGAGCCAGCTCTGAGCCTGCGCAGCCCCATCGTGTCTCCCACAACATCACAATATATACAACGGAATAATATATAGAAATAATAATAACTCTGTAACGTCGTACTTATAACAATAATAAATAATACCAATTAGCCATTGTCAATAATTAATGATTTTAATATAAATAATAGTTAACTATTAATAATCTTTAATATAATTAATAATAGTTAACTATTACTATTAATAATCTTTTAAAATTATTAATATTCTTAATAATAGTTAACTATTACTACTATTAATATTTCATATAACTATTACTAATATTCCTAATAATAGTTTACTATTACTATTAGTAATCTTTAATATAACTATTACTAATATTCTTAATAATATTTAACTATTACTGTTAATAATCTTTAATATATTAGTAATATTCTTAATAATAGTTAACTATTACTAATAATCTTTCATATAACTATTACTAATATTCTTAATAATAGTTAACTATTACTGTTAATAATCTTTCATATCACTGTGATTAATATTCTTAATAATAGTGAACGATTACTATTAATAATCTTTAATATAACTATTATTAATATACTTAATAATAGTTAACTACTACTATTAATAATCTTTAATATATTAGTGATATTTTAATAATAGTTAACTATTACTATTAATAATCTTTAATATAAATAGTATTAATAATCTTAATAGTTAACTATTACTATTAATATACTTAATAATAGTTAACTATTACTATTAATAATCTTTAATATAACTATTATTGATATTCTTAATAATAGTTAACTATTACTATTAATAATCTTTAATAATAATCTATATAAATAAAAATGTAAATGTTCGTTTGTGGGATTAACGTAACTCAAAAACCATATATCACAATAATTATAATATTTAATAATAGTAATAATAAAATAAAATATATATTATAATAATTATAATATATTATATTATAACATATTATAACATATTATATTACAACATATTATATTATAATATTATATATATATAATATTATAATATAATATTATATTATATTATAATATCATATTATATTATATTATATTATAATACACACACACACACACACATATCTCATACGCTGGTATGTAAATGCATATGATAATATTGACACCTTTCGGCAACAACAGTCCCCCGGAGCCCCTACCTGATCCGTCCTGCCAGCAGCATGGCCAAGAAGCAGGTCAGGAGGCCGATGACCACGACCGCCGTCTGGTGGCTCTTCCCGTAGTCCCAAGCGCTGCCCAGTGCCTCTGCCACTCCTTCCGGTAACAGCCGCATCACTTCCTGCCAGCGGAGGAAGTCGAGCAGAGTGCCGTTGTTGCTCGGCGTGACGCCCTCGGTTCCGTTCTTGCCCGACGCTGGGCTCGGCGGAGCAAGGGCGGACGCCGTTTCCGGGGCGAACGGGTTCCCGGATCCGTATGACGCCATGAAGAGGAGGACGGCACAGACGAGGAAGGCCAGGAAGCGGAGGGCGACGACCTGGAACGGGGTGGTGGACGAGGAGGATGCCGCCGCGGCGTAAAAGCTCTGCGGAAGAGAAGGACCGTCAGGTCGGCTGTCTATATGAATTTTCCCTATATAGATATTGATAAAAATATAGAAGTTCCTATATATCTGTGTGTATGTGTATCATATCAATATATTATTTTATATATGAATTTTCCCCTCACAAGTTTGGAGGTCTTGGCAAATTCTATATAGATATAGATATCAATAAATATATAGGTACCTATATATCTGTATATCTTTCTGTGTGTATGGGTGTGCATGTCTATATATTATTTTATATATGAATTTCCCCCCCACATCTTTGCAAGTCTCTGTAAATTCTATATAGATATCAATAAATATATAGGTACCTATATATCTGTATATCTCTGTGTGTATGTATGTCTATATATTATTTTATATATGAATTTTCCCCTCACAAGTTTGCAAGTTTCTCCAAATTCTATATACATATCGATAAATATATAGAAGTACCTATATATCTGTATATATGTGTGTGTATATATATGTGTATATATATAATTTTATATATGAATTTTTCCCTCACAAGTTTGGAAGTCTTGGCAAATTCTATATAGATATAGATATCAATAAATATAGAGAGGTACCTATATATCTGTATATCTCTTTCTGTGTATGCATGTCTATATATTATTTTATATATGAATTTTCCACTCTCAAGTTTGGAAGTCTCTGTAAATTCTATATATAGATATCAATAAATATATAGAAGTACCTATTTATCTGTATATCTGTGTGTATGTATATGTGTATATAGATAATTTTATATATGAATTTTCCCCTCATGTGTGTCTGTATGTGCCTATATATTGTTTTATATATGAATGTTTCCCTCAAATGTTTGCAAGTCTCTGCAAATCCTATATAAATATAGGTATTAATAACTATAAAGAAGTACCTGTATATCTGTATACATTAGGCCTGGGCGGTTTCGTTCGTTAATTCCGTAATTCGTTAAACATTCGTTATTTTTAGCATTTACGAAACGATAACAAAACACATTTTCAAACCCGGAAGGGTTTAAAAATAACGAACCGGCAACCCCCATTGTTTTAACGAGCTTCCGCCCGTTTCGTAAATGGGATGGAGGCTGCTGGTGCCCTGGGAGCCAATCCGGCGCTCCCAAGCATCGTGTTTCCCTCCCCGGTAGCAAGCTAGCAAGCGGCGCATATGCCCCACTTCCAGTCTCTCCCCTCCTGCCAGCCACCTTTGCTCTGCTGCTTCCCTCCTCTTTCCTCATGCTGTCTTCCTGGGCAGCAGCTTCAAACTATTATTTATTACTAATATCAGGGGTCTTCAAACTTTTTAAACGGGGGGGGGGGGGAGAGATTACTGTCACAGCATGGGTAAGAGTCTTAATATAACAGCAGGAAATTCATGAATATTTACTGATCAGCCGATCAGCCGAACTATCAGGAATGTGGCCTCACATAACTCAGCTTTTTCCACACAGCCATATATAACTCAGAATCTCAAAGCACAAAATCCCCCAAAACGGGCTTTAAACTGGATTAAATGGCAGTGTGGCCTCACATAACCCAGCTTTTTCCACACAGCCATATAACTCAGAATCTCAAAGCACAAAATCCCCCAAAACGGGCTTTAAACTGGATTATATGGCAGTGTGGCCTCACATAACCCAGCTTTTTCCACACAACCATATAACTCAGAATCTCAAAGCACAAAATCCCCCAAAACGGGCTTTAAACTGGATTATATGGCAGTGTGGCCTCACATAACCCAGCTTTTTCCACACAGCCCATATAACTCAGAATCTCAAAGCACAAAATCCCCCAAAACGGGCTTTAAACTGGATTATATGGCAGTGTGGCCTCACATAACCCGGCTTTTTCCACACAGCCATATAACTCAGAATCTCAAAGCAGAAAATCCCCCAAAACGGGCTTTAAACTGGATTATATGGCAGTGTGTCCTCACATAATCCAGCTTTTTCCACACAGCCATATAACTCAGAATCTCAAAGCACAAAATCCCCCAAAACGGGCTTTAAACTGGATTATATGGCAGTGTGGCCTCACATAACCCAGCTTTTTCCACACAGCCATATAACTCAGAATCTCAAAGCACAAAATCCCCCAAAACGGGCTTTAAACTGGATTATATGGCAGTGTGGCCTCACATAACCCAGCTTTTTCCACACAGCCATATAACTCAGAATCTCAAAGCACAAAATCCCCCAAAACGGGCTTTAAACTGGATTATATGGCAGTGTGGCCTCACATAACCCAGCTTTTTCCACACAGCCATATAACTCAGAATCTCAAAGCACAAAATCCCCCGAAACGGGCTTTAAACTGGATTATATGGCAGTGTGGCCTCACATAACCCAGCTTTTTCCACACAGCCATATAACTCAGAATCTCAAAGCACAAAATCCCCCAAAACGGGCTTTAAACTGGATTATATGGCAGTGTGTCCTCACATAACCCAGCTTTTTCCACACAGCCATATAACTCAGAATCTCAAAGCACAAAATCCCCCAAAACGGGCTTTAAACTGGATTATATGGCAGTGTGGCCTCACATAACCCGGCTTTTTCCACACAGCCATATAACTCAGAATCTCAAAGCACAAAATCCCCCAAAACGGGCTTTAAACTGGATTATATGGCAGTGTGGCCTCACATAACCCGGCTTTTTCCACACAGCCATATAACTCAGAATCTCAAAGCACAAAATCCCCCAAAACGGGCTTTAAACTGGATTATATGGCAGTGTGTCCTCACATAACCCAGCTTTTTCCACACAGCCATATAACTCAGAATCTCAAAGCACAAAATCCCCCAAAACGTGCTTTAAACTGGATTATATGGCAGTGTGGCCTCACATAACCCGGCTTTTTCCACACAGCCATATAACTCAGAATCTCAAAGCACAAAATCCCCCAAAACGGGCTTTAAACTGGATTATATGGCAGTGTGGCCTCACATAACCCAGCTTTTTCCACACAGCCATATAACTCAGAATCTCAAAGCACAAAATCCCCCAAAACGGGCTTTAAACTGGATTATATGGCAGTGTGTCCTCACATAACCCAGCTTTTTCCACACAGCCATATAACTCAGAATCTCAAAGCACAAAATCCCCCAAAACGTGCTTTAAACTGGATTATATGGCAGTGTGGCCTCACATAACCCAGCTTTTTCCACACAGCCATATAACTCAGAATCTCAAAGCACAAAATCCCCCAAAACGGGCTTTAAACTGGATTATATGGCAGTGTGGCCTCACATAACCCAGCTTTTTCCACACAGCCATATAACTCAGAATCTCAAAGCACAAAATCCCCCAAAACGGGCTTTAAACTGGATTATATGGCAGTGTGGCCTCACATAACCCAGCTTTTTCCACACAGCCATATAACTCAGAATCTCAAAGCACAAAATCCCCCAAAACGGGCTTTAAACTGGATTATATGGCAGTGTGGCCTCACATAACCCGGCTTTTTCCACACAGCCATATAACTCAGAATCTCAAAGCAGAAAATCCCCCAAAACGGGCTTTAAACTGGATTATATGGCAGTGTGTCCTCACATAATCCAGCTTTTTCCACACAGCCATATAACTCAGAATCTCAAAGCACAAAATCCCCCAAAACGGGCTTTAAACTGGATTATATGGCAGTGTGGCCTCACATAACCCGGCTTTTTCCACACAGCCATATAACTCAGAATCTCAAAGCACAAAATCCCCCAAAACGGGCTTTAAACTGGATTATATGGCAGTGTCCTCACATAACCCAGCTTTTTCCACACAGCCATATAACTCAGAATCTCAAAGCACAAAATCCCCCAAAACGGGCTTTAAACTGGATTATATGGCAGTGTGGCCTCACATAACCCAGCTTTTTCCACACAGCCATATAACTCAGAATCTCAAAGCACAAAATCCCCCAAAACGGGCTTTAAACTGGATTATATGGCAGTGTGTCCTCACATAACCCAGCTTTTTCCACACAGCCATATAACTCAGAATCTCAAAGCACAAAATCCCCCAAAACGGGCTTTAAACTGGATTAAATGGCAGTGTGGCCTCACATAACCCAGCTTTTTCCACACAGCCATATAACTCAGAATCTCAAAGCACAAAATCCCCCAAAACGGGCTTTAAACTGGATTATATGGCAGTGTGGCCTCACATAACCCAGCTTTTTCCACACAGCCATATAACTCAGAATCTCAAAGCACAAAATCCCCCAAAACGGGCTTTAAACTGGATTATATGGCAGTGTGGCCTCACATAACCCAGCTTTTTCCACACAGCCATATAACTCAGAATCTCAAAGCACAAAATCCCCCAAAACGGGCTTTAAACTGGATTATATGGCAGTGTGGCCTCACATAACCCAGCTTTTTCCACACAGCCATATAACTCAGAATCCTGTAGCCAGCTGGAGGAGAAGAATCAGGAGGAGGAGGAGGATTAGGAGGAACAGCTTAATTATAATATAGTATAATAATATAATATAATATATATTATAATATATTATATATAATATAATATACAATAATAATATAATATTATTGTATATTATATTATGTTATTATATATTATATTACTACATTATAACATATATTATATTATTATTGTATATTATATCATTATATTATATTATATGTTATAATTGTGCATTATTATATTATATTATTATTATATTATATTATAATTGTATATATTATATTATAATATATCATATTATATCTATATAATATGTCCCAAGACCACAGCATGTCCAAAAGCAGAAGATTAAGTCAGAAGGAAACATCCAAAAACAATCCGAAGTAAGAATCCAGTCTTTAAACCGGTTTGAAACGGTTTAATGTAATATAATGTAATATAATAATAATAATATAATATAATATACAATAATAATATACTATAATAATATTATATTATATTATTACAATATATTATTGTATATTATATTATATTATGTTATTATATTATTATATTATATTATATTATATTTTATTATATTATATTATATTATATTATATTATATTATATTATATTATATTATATTATATTATATTATATTATATTATATTATATTATATTATATTAGAATAGTTTTAAGCTGCTGGCCAAGGAAGAGTTTTACCTGGGTTGAGACAAGCCGTTTCAAAGCGGTTTAAAGACTGGATTCTTACATCGGATTGTTTTTGGATGGACATTTCATTCTGACTTAATCTTCTGCTTTTGGGCATGCTGTGTGGGCTTGGGACAGTTTTTTGAGAACACTTTTCCTTGCTTCCACCCAATGTTTTCTAACCCTGTGATTCTGAAGCAGTTTGCTTGAACTGCTCTTATCCCAGATTATATACAGGATAATCTGGATTATTTGCTAAATTATGTTTTTTGGCACAGCAATTTGCTACAGACTTTAGTTCTTGATACTAGAAATAGATCACTAAATTAAGTGCTTCTAGCTATTTTTGTTGTTATAATAATAATATAATAATATATAATATAATATAATATGTATAATATATTATAATATATAAAATAATATACTATAATATAATAATATTATAATAATATTATATAATAATATATAATATAATATAATATGTATAATATATTATAATAATATATAATATAATATATATAATATAATATAATAATATTATAATAATATAATATAATATAATATAATATAATATAATATAATATAATAATATAATATATTATAATCTATAATATAATATACAATAATATATAATAATATTATAATAATATAATATAATAATATATAATATAATATAATATAATGTAATATATTATAATTTAATATAATATACAATAATGTAATATAATAATATTATATAATAATATATAATATAATATAATATAGTTGTTGTTTGTTTTATCACACCAACAGTCAACAACAGAGGGAGAGGGAAGCTTCAGAAGTTCCCCCTGTCCCGTTTGGAGGTTTTTTTTAGCATATTGCGCAATCCTGTCCGCCATTAACAAATCGATTCGTTAATATTTACGAAATTTTCGTAAATATTAACGGATTGTAGGGGGGAAATTTTGTAATTATTTTAAATATCGAAACAAAAAAACACCCCAATTACAAATCGATTTTAGAACCAAATTTTTTCTTGATCGACCAGCCCTAGTATACATGTATATGTGTGTGTAATTTTATATATGAATTTTCCCCTCACGTGTTTGCAAGTCATTGCAAATCCTATATAGATATAATCATCTATATATAGAGTGAAGTCTAGATAGGTATATATGAATATAGATATATAGGGCTTGCAAATATTACATATATTACACACACACACACACACACACACACACACACACACACACATATATATATATATATATATAGAGAGAGAGAGAGAGATGTCTAGGTGGATATGAATAGAGATATATAGGGCTTCAAAATATTACGTATATTACACAAATATATATAGACATGTCTAGATGGATATGAATATAGATATATAGGGCTTGTAAATATTGCAGAGGAAATACACACAGAGAGAGGTCTAGAGAAACATAAACATAGATATATAGGGCTTGCAAATATTGCAGGGGAAATGCGCACAGAGAGAGAGAGGTCTAGAGAGATATAAACAGATATATAGGGCTTGTAAATATTGTAGGGGAAATGCACACAGAGAGAGATGTCTAGAGAAATATAAACACAGATATATAGGGTTTGCAAATATTGCAGGGGAAATGCACAGAGAGAGAGAGAGGTCTAGAGAGATATATTAAACAGATATATAGGGCTTGCAAATATTGCAGAGGAAATGCACACAGAGAGAGGTCTAGAGAAACATAAACATAGATATATAGGGCTTGCAAATATTGCAATGGAAATGCACACAGAGAGAGAAGTCTAGAGAAATATAAACATAGATATATAGGGTTTGCAAATATTGCAGGGGAAATGCACAGAGAGAGAGAGAGAAGTCTAGAGAGATATAAACATAGATATATAGGGCTTGCAAATATTGCAGGAGGGAATGCTCAGAGAGAGAGAGGTCTAGATGGATGTAAACATAGTTATATAGAGCTTGCAAATATTGCAGAGGAAATGCACACAGAGAGAGAGGTCTAGAGAGATATAAACATAGATATATAGGGCTTGCAAATATTGCAGGGGAAATGCACACAGAGAGAGAGGTCTAGAGAGATATAAACATAGATATATAGGGCTTGCAAATATTGCAGGAGGGAATGCTCAGAGAGAGAGAGAGGTCTAGATGGATGTAAACATAGATATATAGAGCTTGCAAATATTGCAGAGGAAATGCACACAGAGAGAGGTCTAGAGAAACATAAACATAGATATATAGGGCTTGCAAATATTGCAATGGAAATGCACAGAGAGAGAGAGAGAAGTCTAGAGAGGTATAAACATAGATATATAGGGTTTGCAAATATTGCAGGAGGGGAGAGAGAGAGGTTAGATATAAACATAGATATATAGGGCTTGCAAATATTGCGGGGGCAATGCGCACAGAGTGAGAGGTCTAGAGAGATGTAAACATAGATATATAGGGCTTGCAAATATTGCAGGAGGGAATGTTTGCCTCTTCCTGTGTTGGAAGCCCTCCTGAGTGTCCTTGGGGAGAGAGGGCGGGATTACAAAGTATGTGAGGGTCCCCACGCGCCCCTTACCTGCATGTAGGTCTTGTCCACCTTGCGGTGGCTGAAGTGGTGCCGGAGCAGGAGGGCCCGGAGCTGGCGGTTCTGGTGCTTGATGTAATACTCCACGGCTGCCTGGCATGGGCGGCACAGCTTGTAGGTCTGCTCCAAGTGGTGTTTGTACACCTCGATCTCCTCGTCGTATTTGCCCTGCCGAGAAGAACGGGGACCATTTGCACTCCGGGGCAGGGACAACCATTGGGCCCACCGACTTTTGGGCGACGGGGGACAAGAGACGAGATCAACAAAGCTCAGGACGTTACTGAACGGAATGGAGTTCTGACTCGTATCCTGATACAAGGTTCTTTCGTCCCTTGCATTGGGCCATTTCCCAGCGCATTAAAGAATGTAACACAGGAAGAAGAACAGCTTTGGCAGAGAGAAAAGGAAGAAAGGGAGGAATGAAAATGAGGGAGGGAAGGGGGAAAAAGGAAGGAAGGAAGGAAGGAAGGAAGGAAGGAAGGAAGGAAGGAAGGAAGGAAGGAAGGGAGGGAAGGAGGGAGAGAAGGAGGGAGGGAAAGTAAATAAAGAGAAGTAGGAGAAAGAGATGGAAGGAGGGAGGGAAAGAAAGAGGAAGGAAGGAAGGAAGGAAGGAAGGAAGGAGGGAAGGGAAGGAAGGAGGGTGCGAGAAAAGGAAAATAAAGTAGTGAAAAGATTTGGAAGGAGGGAGGGAGGAAGGGAAAGAAACAGAGGAAGAGGAGAGAGAGAGAAATAAATAAAGAGAAGAGATAGAGGGAGGGAAAGAAAGAAAGGAAGGAAGGAAGGAAGACAGAGAAAGAAAGAAAGAAAGAAAGAAAGAAAGAAAGAAAGAAAGAAAGAAAGAAGAAAGGGAAAGAAGAAGGAGAAAAAAAAAGAAAAGGAGGGAGAAAGGGAAAGAAAGGGAGGGAAAGAAAAAAAGAAATAAAAAAGAGTAGGGAAAAGAGAGGAAGGAAAGAAAGAGAGAGAGAGAAAGAAAGAAAGAAGAAAGAAAGAGAGAGAAAGAAAGAAAGAAAGAAAGGGATGGAAAGAGAAGGAAGGAAAGAAAGAAAGGGAAAAGGGAAAAGAAAGAAAGGAAAGAAAAAAGAAAGAAAAAGATGAAGAAGGAGGAAGGGAAGAAAGAAAAAAGAAAGAAAGAGAGGAAGGAAGGAGGAAGAGAAGGAAAGAGAAGAAAGAAAGAAAGGAAGGAAGGAGGAAGGAAGGAAAGAGAAAGAAAGAAAGAAAGAAAAGGAAGGAGGAAAGAGAGGAAAGAGAGAAAGAAGAAAGAAGGAAGGAGGAAGGAAGGAAAGAGAAAGAAAGAAAAGAAAGAAAGAAGAGGAAGGAAAGGAGGAAGAAGGAAAGAGAAAGAAAGAAAAAAAGAAAGAGAAAGAAAGAAAGAAAGAAAGAAAGAAAGAAAGAAAGAAAGAAAGGAAAGGGATGGAAAAGAGATGTAAGGAAAGAGGAAGAAAAAAACAAGAAAGAAAAGTAGGAAACAGGGAAAGAAGAAAAATAAAAAAAAAGAGAGAAAGAAAAAAAGAAGGAAGGAAGGAAAGAAAGGTTAAATAGGAAAAAGAAGGAAGGATGTATTGTCAAAGGCTTTCATGGACGGAATCACTGGGTTGTTGTAGGTTTCTTCAGGCTATATGGCCATGTTCTAGAGGCATTCTCTCCTGACGTTTTGCCTGCATCTATGGTAAGCATCCTCAGAGGTAGTGAGACCTCACAACCTCTGAGGATGCCTGCCACAGATGCAGGTGAAACGTCAGGAGAGAATGCCTCTAGAACATGGCCATATAGCCCGGAAAAACCTACAACAACCCAAAAAGGAAGGAATTTGGAAAGGATGTTGAACCACGGGCCATGGCTCTGAACCCATTGGGCGACTCTAGGGTGAAGTCACCCTTTCTCAGCCTCAGAGGAAGACGAAGAAAGGCCATTCGCCCTCGGAACGAATCCCGCTAAGGAAAGTCTGCAACACTTGGCAAGCACCCCACACCCTTGTGGGTCCCGCCCCACGACTGACCTCTTCCCGGGGGGTGAAGGAGGCCAGCTGCTTGATCTTGGTGGTCTGGTGGTTGTTGCACTTCTTGCAGAGGAGGACCTGGCTGCTGACCCACTGCTGGGGCCGGGAGGGGTCGCAGGGGGGTCCCGTGCCCGAGACCACGTGGTTCAGGTGCTCCATGTACTGCGCCGGGATGGGCTTGTTGTAGTCGCCGTTCTGCCAAAAGGAATTGCAAGGGTAGTCACTCAACCGCTCCAACGTCCCGGTCAATCTAACCTCCCACCCAAAATTGTAAATACAATATATGTACATATATATAGATATCTACCTCTTGGAAGCCGTTGTACTGTTCGCAGTTGGGACAGTCCCAACAATTGCGGTTCCCGTAGGGCACCACCGTGTCCTGGCTGCAGAACCAGCAGTTCACCGTCATGTGGGTGGGCTTTCGCCTGCGGGGAGGAGGAGAGGAAAGGGAGAGGCAAAACGGCGGAGGTTAGCACATCCCGATTGAGAGAGACGGTCAGAGTCAGAACGGGTGAGTTCCCGCAACAACTGTATCTGTTAAATGATTTGAAAATGTCTGTTTTCTTTTAGTGTTGGTTTGATTGTTTTTTTGTATTGTTTACCAAATGTCGTGAGCCGCTTTGTGGTCCCGTTTAGGGAGGAAAGCGGGATAGACATAAAGATTTATTATTATTATTATTATTATTATTATTATTATTATTATTATTATTATGCAAGTTTGTTTTGAAGTTGAATTTGTAAGTCAGAACAGGGCCATTTTTGAAGTATAACTCCATATATATATAGAGAGAGAGAGAGAGAGAGAGTAGGTATATACACATTCATACACATGTGTATATATAGATATATGGATAGCATAAGGATATATATGGGAAATTATGTGTGACCCCGTACGCCCCCGTACATTTCCTCAGGGGAATCTCCCACATCATGATCTTGAGGCATGGAGTTCCACAGTTGAACAAATCATGGTGAATTCCCCCCTCCAAACCTCTTGTTCAGTTGCTGATCAATTTCTGCTTTGCTGTGCACCATGGGAAAGGGTAGGAAAGGGAATGAGGAGTGCCACTTGTGCCAGAACGAATGGGAATGCAGACCATGCGCCACAGCCAAGGGAACAGTTGCTCAAAGCAGTTGTCCCGACTTATGGCATTCCTATCGGGAGAGGAGCTTCAAAGAAGGGTTTCGAGGGAGAAGAAAAGAGCATTCAAGGCAGAGGAATGGACACTTGTGCCGTAAATATGCGTCTGCTGCCGGTATTGATCATTTGGCGCATTACAACCAAAACAAAGAGAGGAAAGGACGAGGGAACAGATGCAAAAGTCAATTGCCACCGATAAGCCAAAAAGAGGGAAGACGCAGAAAGCTCAAGACACAACAACGAAAACAAGGCCACATCCCAAGAGAGAGAAAGCAAGATGGACCAAGAGAAAAATAATAATAATAATAATAATAATATTTCCTAGGCCCTTGGGAAGAGCCCGATATTCAGAGACGAACCCCAGACACTTGGACCTAATGTGCACATGTGCTGTGTGCTATTATCATATAAATAATATATGATAATAATAATAATAAATATAATAACATAATATTATCTCTAATATCCTAGGTCCTTGCGAAGAGCCCGATATTCAGAAATGAACCCCAGACACTTGGACCTAATGTGCACATGTGCTGAGTAATCAATAATATATGTTAATATAATAATTACAATAATAATAACAACATAATATTATCTCTAATATCCTAAGTCCTTGGGAAGAGCTCTGTATTCAGAGACGAATCCCACACACTTGGACCTAATGTGCATGTGCACCATGTTGTTATGCACAGGTAATAATTAATATATAATAATAATATTATATAATAATAATAATAATATATAATAATAATATAATATTATCTCTGATATCCTAAGTCCTTGGGAAGTACCCGATATTCAGGGACGAATCCTGGACACTTGGACCTAATGTGCACATGTGCTGTGTTGTTATGTTCATGTAAATAAATAAAATAATAATAATAATAATAATAATAATAATAAATATCGCTACTATCCTAGGCTCTTGGGAAGAGCCAGATATTCAGGGACGAATCCTAGGCACTTGGACCTAATGTGCACATGAGCTGTGTTGTTATACACATGTAATAAATACAGTATATTCTGGCATATAAGACTACCGTATATTCCGGCATATAAGGCGACTGGGCGTATAAGACGACCCCCAACTTTTCCAGTTAAAATATAGAGTTAAGACGACTCCCATGCATAAGACTACACCCGTGTATAAGACGACCCCTGACTTTTGAGAAGATTTTCTTGGGTTAAAAAGTAGTCTTATACGCCAGAATATACTGTCCTTTTTAACCCAAGAAAATCTTCTCAAAAGTCAGGGGTCGTCTTATACGCGGGTGTAGTCTTATGCATGGGAGTTGTCTTAACTCTATATTTTAACTGGAAAAGTTGGGGGTCGTCTTATACGCCTAGTCGTCTTATATGCCGGAATATACGGTAATGATAATATATAATAAAATAATAAATATTATATAATGATATATAATAATAATAATATAATAATCCAATACTATCTCTAATATCCTAGAAGCAATATGCTGTGTTGCTATGGACACGTAATATATAATAATATATAAGAGAATAATAAATATAATAATAATAATTTATAATATAATTATAGTTATATCTATACATATAATAAAGGTGAAAGTTTGTATGCGGAGGGCAAAAGTGTGGCGGTGCGACGGGAGGAGTATGTGCCAGCGTTTTGATTGGCCAGCCTGAAAGTTCCAACATTCTGATTGGCTGCCGCAGTGGTGCTATTTGCATATGGTCTCTGATTGGCCAGCTTCAATAGGAGCCCCTGGTGGAGAAAAGAGTTCATGGCAGAAACGAGGACATGAGAAGGAAATTTGCATATGGTCTCTGATTGGCCAGCCTCAATTCCAAGATTCCGAGATGGCAAAGAGAGGAAAGGAAAAGGCCAGAGGGGGCTGAGTCAGACAATTACCAATACAGACCACACTTGGCACACAGAGCCCCCATGACCCACTCGACATCCTACTGCAGTTTGGAGGAGGATGAACCATGGATGATGGGACTTGCAGTACCATCACTCACATTCTGAGACCGCTGTTAACCTCATCCAATGACTGATCAGGACCAAACTTGGCACATAGACCTCTCATGACCCACTTTACGTCTGGTGTGGTTTGGCGGATGGACCATGGATTATGGGACTTGCAGTACCTTTGCTCAATTCTTGAGACCACTGCAACCCTCATCCAATTACCGATAAAAATACAAACTTGGCACACTGAGTCTCCATGACGCACTCTACATCCAGGTGCAGTTTGAAGGAGGATGCACCATGGACGATGGGACTTGCAATACCTGGACTCCCTTCCTAAGACCATTATAACTGCCAACAATGATGGATCAGGACCACAATTTACACAGAGAGCCCGCATAACCCACTCTACATCCTGGTGCAGTTTGGAAGAATTTGACAATGGATGATGGGACTTGCAGTCACTTCACTCACTTCCTGAGACCACTGAGACCCTTGCCAATGACTGATGAAGATCAAACTTGGCACAGAGAGTCCCCATGACCCTCTCTACATCCTGGTGTACTTTCAAGGAGGACAGACAATGGATGATAGGACTTCAAGTACCTCCACTCTCTTCCCAAGACTGCTGCAACCCTCATCTAATGTCCGAACAAAACCAAACTTGGCACACAGAGCCCCCATGACCCACTCTACATCCTACTGCGGTTTGGAGTAGGGCATACCATGGATGATGGGACTTGAAGTACCTCTACTCGCTTTCCGAGACTGCTGCGACCCTCAACAATGACTGAACAACACCAAACTTGGCACATAGACCTCTCATGACCCACTTTACGCCATGGTGTGGTTTGACTGTGGATCGAGCATGGATTATGGGACTTGCAGTATCTTCGTTCAATTCCTGAGAGCACTGCAACCATCATCCAATTTCCAATAAGGAGCAAACTTGGCACACCGGGTCTCCATGATGCACTCTACATCCTGGTGCGGTTTGGAGGATGATGCACCATGGATGATGGGACTTGCAGTTCCTTCACTCACTTAGTGAAACTACTGAGACCCTCATCCAATGACTGATAAAGACCAAACTTGGCACACAGAACCCCCATGGCCAACTCAACATTCTGGTGAGGTTTGGGGGAGAACAGACTATGGATGATGGGACTTCAAGTACCTCCACTCCCTTCCGAAGATTGCTACAACCCTCTTCTAATGACCAATCAAGACCAAACTTGGCATACAGAACCGCCATTACCCACTTTCTCTAATAACCCGGGCAGCGCCGGGTCCCCAAGCTAGTCATATAATAATAATAATAATATCTCTAATATCCTAGGCCCTTGGGAACAGCTTGATATTCAGAGACGAACCCCAGACACTTGGATCTAATGTGCATGTGTGCTGTGTTGTTATGGACATGTAATTAATAATAATAATAATAATAATAATAATAATAATATCTCTAATATGCTAGGCCCTTGGGAACAGCTTGATATCCAGAGACGAACCCCAGACACTTGGACCTAATGTGCATGTGTGCTGTGTTGTTATGGACATGTAATAAATAATAATAATAGAATATATAAATAATAATAATAATAATAATATCCTAGACCTTTGGGAAGAGCTCGGTATTCAGAGACTAATTCCAGACACTTGGACTTAATATGCGTGTGTGCTGTGTTGTCATATACATGTAATAAATAATAATAATAGAATATATCAATAATAATAATAATAATATCTCTAATATCCTAGGCCCTTGGGAAGAGCCTAATTCCAGACTGTTGGACTTAATATGCGTGTGTGCTGTGTTGTCATATACATGTAATAAATAATAATAATAGAATATATCAATAATAATAATAATAATAATATATCTAATATCCTAGGTTCTTGGGAAGGTCGAAGTGTGTGGAATTCTCTGAATATCGGGCTCTTCCCAAAGGCCTAGGATATTAGAAATATTCTATTTTATTATTATTAATATTATTATTATTATATTTATTACATGCACATAAGAATACAGCACACATGCACATTAGGTCCAATAGTCTGGGATTTATCTCTGGATATCGGGTTCTTCCCAAGAGCCTAGGTATTAGAGATATTATTATTATTGTTTTGCTGCCTCGAAAGACAAACGCAGCCTTTATATCCCAAACGCAGCTGATACCCGTCCTCGCCGGCTGTTTCCTTATGACTTTGCCATAGAAACTACAGCTGTCGGCCTTTGGAAGAACTCCCCAAAGGCACATGAATGCGTGAGATGGACAACAAACCCAAAACAAACCCCGTTCACTCCGGGAAATGCGGGAGTTGCAGTTATACCA